CCCGCGGGCTCAGGCAATGCACTCACCTCAGCCTCCCAAAGCACAGGATTACAGCCTGAGCCACCGAGTCCGGCATGTGTTGAACATTTAAAAAGTACAGAGTGGTGTCCTGGCTGATGCTTGCAATCTCAGCATGTTGGGAGGCTGAAGAATGAGGATTGCTTGAGCCCAGGAGTTCCAGATCAGCTTAGGTAACATAATGAGACTTAAGTTCTACCAAAAAAAAAAAAAATCACAGATTTAGCTGGGGGTGGGGGTGTGTGCTTGTAGACTCAGCTACTTGGGAGGTTGAGGTGGGAGGATCAACTGAGTCCAGAAAGTCGAGGCTGCGGGGAGCTATGATTGTGCCACTGCCCTCCAGCCTGGGTGAGTAGTGAGACCTCGACTCAAAATATATTTTTTTTAAATACAGATGCTCTTTGACTTACCATGGGGTTATGTCCCATTAAACTCATCTAAATTAAAAACATTGTAAGTAGAATATATAAGTAGTAATACACCTAGTCTACTAGACATAGCTTAGTCTAGCTTCCTTAACGTGCTTAGAACTCTTTTTTTTTTTTTTTAAATTGAAGGTCCCTTACTGGTCCTGCTTCCATAAATGGCCATGACCAAGGGAAAAGGGAGAGGAACCAGCCGGCGTGGGGAGGGGTCATCTCCACAACATTCCATTTGTACACAGAACTAAACAGACAAGCACAGAGTCACTATGCGGTTAGAAGTTGGCAGCCTGGGAAGGGAGAGGAACAGGTGGGGAATGAGGGTTTAGTTAAAAAAAATACAGCCTCCCCCAAACTGGGGTGCCCGGGGGGAACTCAGTCTACTTCAACCCAAGAGGAATCAAGATCAAAAGCGGTTTGGGAAGGCCAGAACCGTCAGGGATGGAGGGAGGGAAATCCAGGGGGTGGGGGGGCTGTTTGGCAACCGGGGGCAAGGGATTGACCTCCCCCTGCTGGGATCCCCCCAACCCCCCCAGTCTGGCAGGGAGGGGGCAGCCTGCAACCCCCGAGAGCAGGTCTGGGGCTGCCAGATGCTCCAGGCAGGGGACCAGAAGGGGCTCACAAAGGCTTGCCCTCCAGGGAGATGACGGCGCTGCCCCCCAGTTTCTCTGCCAGGGTGCGGCGATCCTTGACCTCCTCGTAGCAGTTTGCTTGTAATTCGTGCTTGATTCCCGTCAGCTTCTTCTTGATGGCGTCCTTGGAGCTGGCATAAATCATTTTCCTCTTAAGGGGTGCACACTCAGGAGCCCAGAAGATAAACACCAGGTCCTCCTTGCTCTCCTTGGTCTCATAGGTTGCATCGTAGAGGGCATAGCGGCAGTCCTTGTCTGGCAGCATCTTGACAAAGGTGGCGTAGGGGTCATCGACAGTCTGGCCCACATCACCCACCAGGATCTCCTTGCCCTCCTCCAGGATGATGTTCTTCTTGTCCTCCCTCAAGCAGAAGAGCACCGCCTTCTCGTGCTTCTTTACCTCCTCTGGTGTGGAAGACTTGCGCACCTTCATGTCATTGAACACCTTGATGATTCCATCAGAGACAGCCACACCAGAGGCCGTGTTTCTGGAAGTGAAGAGGAGAGATGGCGAGGAGAGCCAGAGAACAGGACGGCGCTGCCGCTGCTGCCGGGACCCCACTCTAGAACTCTTTTTTTGTTTTTTTTTTTGAGTCAGAGTCTCACTCTGTTGCCCAGACTGGAGTGCAGGGGCACGATCACCACAGCCTCACCCTGCAGGGCTCAGGAGATCCTTCCGCCTCAGCCATCCAAGTAGTTGGAACCACAGGTGTGAGCCACCATGCCCAGCTAATTTTTTTGACTTATTGTAGACACGAGGTCTCACCAAGTTGCCCAGGCTGGTCTCGAACCCCTGGACACAGGCAATCCTCTTGCCTCTGCCTCCCAAAGTGCTGGGATTACAGGAGTGAGCCACTGTTCCCGGCTTCAGAATTCTTTTTTTTTTTTTTTTTTGAGTTGGAGTCTCACTCTGTCGCCCAGACTGGAGTGCAGTGGCCGCTCCCGGCCACCGCAGCCTCGACCCGCTGGGCTCCGGCGATCCTTCCGCCTCAGCCTTTCGAGTAGCCGGAATTACAGGCGTGCGCTACCACGCCCGGCTGATTTTTTGATTTATGGTAGAGATAAGGTCTCGCCGCCCAGGCGGGTCTCGAACCCGCGGGCTCAGGCAATCCACTTACCTCAGCCTCCCAAAGGCGCGGGATTACAGGCTGAGCCACCGAGCCCGGCGCAGAATTCTTACATTAGCCCACAGTTGGACGAAATTATCTAACACAAAGCTATTTTATAAGATAGTGCTGAATATCTCATGTAATTCATTGAATACTATGCTGAAAGTGAAAAACAGAATGGCTTACGAATACCTGAAGCACAGTATCTTTTTTTTTTTTGAATCGGAGTCTCACTCTGTCACCCAGGCTGAAGTGCAGTGGCACACTCACGGTCACCACAGCCTCGACCTGCTAGGCTCAGGCGATCCTTCCACCTCAACCTTCCAAGTAGCTGGAACCACAGGTGTGACCACCACATCTGGCTAACATTTTGATTTATTGTAGAGATGAGGTCTCGCCAAGTTGTCCAGGCTGGTCTTGAACCCTCCACCTGCCAAAGTGCTGGAATCACAGACGTGAGCCACCACACCCGGACTAAAGTATGGTTTTTGCTGAACACATATCACTTTTGCACCATCATAAAGTCAACACATCATTACGTTGAACCATTGTAAGTTGGGGATCATTTGTATATCTCGATCCTTTTCTCATACCACACACAAAAATTAATTCCAAGTGGACTGCAGATCTAAATGTGAAAGATAAAACAAAATTCTCCTTCACCTTGGAGTAGGCAAAACTTTTAAAAACAAGACATAAAAGTACTAACCATAAAAAACAGACAAACGGGACCATATTAAAATCTAAAACTTCTATTCAAAAAAGAAGATACTACCACAAGAATGAAAAGCAATGCACTGAAGGGAGACGATATTCACAACACATACATTCTATGAATTAGTTGGGCTTGGTAGTTCATACCTGTAGTTCCAGTTTTTTGGAAGGCTGAGGTGGAAGGATCGCCTGAGCCCAGCAGGTCGGGCTGCGGTGGCCATGAGCGTGCAGCTGCACTCTGGCCTGAGTGACAAAGTGAGACCCCAACTCAAAAAAAAAATTCTATGGGAGACTCATATCTAGAAGACACAACAAACCTATATATAAAGAAACTAAACTCTTTATAAATAAAGAGTATACAGAAATGACTGATGGTACTGGGAAACTATGGGGGGGAGGGGGATGGGATTAACAGTAGCAAATATCTGTCGGGGGATGGGAAAACACTTCTTATCTACAGGGTGCCTGAATGAAACGTCATTGTACACCTAACCCTTAACTGTACCCCACAAAACCATAATAAAAAAATACTGATTAATGAAAAAAAAAAAAAGAGTATACAGCAGTGCCCCTCTTATTCTTGGGGAACAAATTCCAAGAACCCCAGTAGACGTCTAAAACTGTGAATGTACTGAGCCATGTATACATGGTATTATGTTTTTCTTATACATACCTATGATAAAGTTAATTTCCAACTAAGGCATATTAGCCAAGTATGGTGTCTGTAGTTCCAGCTACTTGGCAGGCTAAGGCAAAAGGATTACCTGAGTCTAGGAGTCAAGGCTGTGGTGAGCTGTGATTACACTCCAGCCTGGGCGACGTGAGACCCTGACACACACACACACACACACACACACACACACACACACACACACACACACAAATAGGGCTGGGCTAGGTGGCTCAGCCTGTAATCCCAGCACTGTAACCTGTAATCGGAGGCTGAGGCGAGTGGATTGCCTGAGCCCGCGGATTCGAGAGCAGGCTGGGCAACTCGGGGAGACTTTGTCTCGACAATAAATCAAATTAGTCAGGTGTGGTGGTGCACGCCTGTAGTTCTGGCTACTTGGAAGGGTGAGGTGGAAGGATCTCCAGAGTCCAGCAGGTCGACGTTAGGGTGGTCGTGAGCGTGACACTGCACTCCAGCCTGGGCAACAGAGTGAGACTCCAACTCAAAAAAAAAAATAGGCACAGTAAGAAATTAGCACCAGTACCAATAATGAAATAGAACAGTTATAACAATATACTATAATACAAGTTATGTGAGCGTGTGTGCGCTCTCTGTCTCTCTCTCAAAATACAGTAAGTCTTCTTTATCTGTGGTTAGGTGTCTAGTGACTGAGCCCAAGCGTGACCCAGATGTTGGCTCAGTTTGTGAGAATTCAAAGAGCTGTGCATTTATGCTGAAGTAATACACCATGTTAGGATTCCAGTATTGCCAAAACCCTTGCTGACACCACGTGTTCACTGAAGTTTCCTGGAATGGCTCAGGCCATCAGACTCACGCGGGGACCCAAGCTGACCGTGCAGCTGCCACTTTGCATGTTTCTGGTTCCCATCCACAAAGTCCCAGGAAGGTGTGTAGCATCAACACCCAAATGACCCGGCCTGGGAGTCTCATGTGTCACCTCTGCTCATTCACAGTTAATTCATTGACCGCAATAAGCACGGGGCCCCCCATCCAGTCACAAGGCGGACAGGAAGTGAAACGCTACCATGTCCAGAAGTGGAGAGAAGGGAAACACGGAGTAGATTTCATCCTGTGCCATGTTGGCAACCAATATTCTTCTAGATCATACTTTCTAGTAGCCATAATCTGTCAAAAGAGGTCTCATCCACATAACCAAGTCCCTTTGTTGAACGTTAATTTGATTCTGTCTTTTCACTACAATTAGTAATCAAATATTACAATTTTGCTCATTTTCCCACTGCTTTGTATGAATCTTTTTTTTTTTTTTGAGTTGGAGTCTCACTCTGTCGCCCAGACAGGAGTGTAGTGGGCGCTCCCGGCCACCACAGCCTCGACCTACTGGGCTCCGGCGATCCTTCCACCTCAGCCTTCCAAGTAACCAGAACTACAGGCACGCGCTACCACGCCTGGCTAGTTTTTGATTTATTGTAGAGTCGAGGTCTCACCAAGTTGCCCAGGCGGGTCTTGAACCCGCAGACTCAGGCAATCCACTCACCTCAGCCTCCCAAAGGCGCGGGTGCAATATTTTCATCAGTTCTGCTCGTTACTGGACATCCTGACCTGTCTTCATCAGGGACGCGTTCTCTCCCTTTTTTTTTGAGTTGGAGTCTCGCTGTGTCGTCCAGACTGGAGTGCAGTGGCACGCTCCCGGCCACCGCAGCCTCCACCTGCTGGGCTCAGGTGATCCTTCCGCCTCAGCCTTCCAAGTAGCTGGAACTACAGGCGCGCGCTAACATGCCCGGCTAATTTTTGATTTATTGTAGAGATGAGGTCTGGCCAAGTTGCCCAGGCGGGTCTCGAACCCTCAGGTTCAGGCAATCCACTCACCTCGGCCTCCCAAAGTGTTGGGATTACAGGCTGAGCCACTGAGCCCGGTCTTCTCTCCCTCTTTAATCCATTTGCACACTGCCATTTTCTTCATGGTCTTATCCCCATAAACTTGAACTAACACGCCCCTGATTTCACTCCCACTCTTGCCAACTTTAACACAAAATGTAATGTTTGCTTGTTGTTCCAGTTCAAACTCCAACATTCTCTCGATGACATCTCTGATGACCATTCCAGAAAGAGAGCTCCAAAATTGCTTTGATGGGTGAACTAGGCGCTGGTGTCAGTGTGTAGCTTCCCAAGGTGACTGGAGTGATACTTTTTTTTTTTGAGTTGAAATCTCACTGTCACCAAGGCTGGAGTGCAGTGGAACGCTCCCGGTCACCCCAGCCTCGACCCACTGGGCGCCAGTGATTCTTCCGCCTCAGCCTTCCAAGTAGCTGGAACTACAGGCGCGTGCTACCTTGCCTGGCTAATTTTTTATTTATTGTAGAGACGAGGTCTCGTCAAGTTCCCTAGGTGGGTCTCCAACTCCCAGGTTCAGGCAATCCACTTGCCTCGGCCTCCCAAAGTGCTGGGATTACAAGGTGAGCCACTGAGCCCAGCTGACTGGAGTGACATTAAGCAACGAGATGTGTAGCGCTTTTTCTGGGATGGTTCATGAACTGAATTGTCAGACCTCAAATACTATCTTTTACTTCAAAAACTCCTAATGTGGGAGGCTGAGGTGAGTGGATTGCC